GGGGGGGGGGGGGGGGGCGGTATTATGGTGATTTGGAAGGTCCAGTCCTTGTAAGTGAGGCCTGAACCCCAGCACTGGGATGAAAGGCCCGGTGGCCTTCTCCCACCCGCTGCCCACATGCATCCTGAGCCACCTCTGCTGGGCATTCTGGACACAGGTTCAGAGCAAGGAGAGCAGCATCCCCAGGCCCCATGCTGGCAGCAGCAGAGCGCTCATCAGCCTCCCAAACCACAGTGGGGCCCTAAGTAGTACGAGCGGGCTTTGGAATGTCCTGCGGGCCCTGTAGGCTCACTTCCCATGGTGTCCTCACAGCCACTTCAGCAGGTGAGGGTGCGCGCCCACCCATTCCACCTTCTGAATAAATCCTCACTGAGCCTTGCTCTGGGTCAGGCAATGGGGACCCCGCCAGAGACAAAGCCGTGTTCCCTAGCAGAGCAGACACAGACGGGAAAGGCCGGGCACCTGGGCAACCTGGTGTAATGCCAGGGTGAGAGGTGCCAGTGTGTGGGGATGAGGAACAGGCACCAGTGTTGTTCTAAAGAGGACTCTGTCCCTGGGACATCCCTCACATCCAGACCCCGGGGGTCACGTGTGCAGAATCCTCATGAGTGTGCGGGACGCGTGCAGACAAGTGGCCTGGGGCTGGGCCAGACTGGGCCGCGTGCTGGGCATCAAGGGGCCCGGGCTCACTATGTGCGGCATCTGTCTAGGACTTCGGGAACTACCACCTGGGCGTCATGTCCTGGATCATCCCCGTCTTTGTGGGCCTGTCCTGCTTCGGCTCCGTCAACGGGTCCCTCTTCACGTCCTCCAGGTGAGCCCCCCAGGACCACGCTCCCCACTCGGCTCCGTGGGAGCCGGGGCAGGACCGGAAGGGAGGCTGAGCTGGGGGCCAGTGCTGCATGCTGCTTTTTAACATGACCTTTAAAGGTTGTGTCTGTTTGTTACATTGAGTAATATGTGGCTGTCAAAACATCCATGTAATACAGAAGTAAAGGAACCAGGGACTCTCCCCTGCCCAGAAGTGACACAACTGCTGTGTCCTAGACTGTCATGGCTTCATTGTGTGCCCTGCCCAGGGGGAGGGGGACTGCAGGTGCGCAAGCCTCTGAGCTCCCCCCCATTGCCAGCTGAGTGGGTCAGGGAGACCAAGAGGCCCCTGCCTGGGTGCTCGGTGATGAGGCCGACCACCTGCTTTTCTGTCCTCAGGCTGTTCTTTGTGGGGTCCAGGGAGGGCCACCTGCCCTCTGTACTCTCCATGATTCACCCGGAGCTCCTGACGCCCATGCCCTCCCTCCTGTTCACGGTAAGCTGGCAGCACCATCTGATGCCCTTCTTCCCCGAGAGGATTACAAGTGGATTAAAGTACAAGATTGGGGTGTTCCTGGGGAGGAAGGGGAGGCTCTAGGGTCCATCTGCATGACACCCTCCCACCTTTGCCTGGTGTCAACTGGACAGCAGACCAAGGCGGAGACCGAGATGCAGATAAGTTAGCAGAGTGTTTCCTTGTATTGTGCCCTTGGCTGCCTGCTCCACTGAACAACAAAGGGCACTGGTTTAAGTTTTTAATTTCAAAAATAATACACGGTAGTTATAAAAAAAACTTCAAACAGTCCAGCATCTGTGGAGCAGAAGCTCTGCTCTGTTCTCCCAGGGAGCCACGGTTCACAGGCGGCTTTGCGTGCTCGGTGCCTCTGGACCTCTGTGGCATGTTAACAAACGTGCGATTTCTAGTGACGTCACATCGTGCACGCTTCTCTTCAGCCTGCCTAACGTCTTATTAGTTCTCTATTGCTCTGTAACAAATCACCCAGGACTTAGTAGCTGAAACGGAAAGCATTCACTGTCCCTTTGTTTCCGTGAGTCAGGAACTCCGGGCAGCTTAGCTGGGTGGCCCTGGTTCAGGGTCCTTTGTGAGGTGGTAACAAGATGGTGGTCGGGGCTGCGTCCCATCTGAAGGCTCGGCCGGGACTGGAGGAGCCGCTTCCAGGATGGCCCCTCATGTGGCTGTGAGCATGAGGCCTCGGTTCCTCAGGACGGGGGCTTGTCCACAGGGCTGCAAGCCAGGGCGAGGGAGCCAAGAGGAAGAGTTTTGAAACTCCTGTGGGTGCCTGGTGGCTGGGGTTCTGGGAGAGCTCCGTAATGGGTACTTAGTTGGTTCCCAGTCATTGCTTCTACAGGTAACACTGCAGTGAGTACAGGGTTTAGGCCTTCGTTCCCTTCCCGCTCTCAGTGGGGCCTTTGCTTTCTGAGAACACGTGTGTTGCTCAAACTAGGTCTTCCTTTAAAGCAAGAGTGCGCAAGTGCTGCCAGCCCTTGCAGACGTGCCCCAGCGCCGGTGGCCTCCATCCTCCAGGCCGTCCTGTTCCGGCTCACGCTGCCCCCTCTCTCTGCTTGCAGTGCCTCATGACCCTGCTATACGCCTTCTCCAACGACATCTTCTCCGTCATCAACTTCTTCAGCTTCTTCAACTGGCTGTGTGTGGCCCTGGCCATCATCGGGATGCTGTGGCTCCGATACAAGAAGCCTGAGCTGGAGCGGCCCATCAAGGTGAGGGCCCAGCCGCGTGGGCGGCCCAGGCCTGGCGCACCCCCAACAGCTGGGGGCTCGGTGGGTCATGCGCTGGAGAAACGGGGTCCAGGTGTCCCTGACAGCCTTTGTGAGGAGCCAGCTCTGCACAACTTCTTGGTTCTGCCCTCCCGGCCTGTGCCTGGGCAAGCCACCATCCCTCTTGGAGTTGCCATTTCCCCTCTGAACCAGGGGTCAGGATGCCTCCTGTAGAGGGTCCTGGTGCACGAGGCAATAAATAAGAAACCTCAGTGCCCAATGGGCAGGTGATGAGCACTGTGGGGTGGACAGGTGGGCAGGGTGAGGGCCTAACTGGCCAGGGGGCAGCTGACCAGGATGGCTGGGTGGTCCTGAGAAGGTGGCATGTGGGCAGAGATGTAGGGGCCATGTGTGTTCAGGGGGTGCTGCCAAGGGTGTGAGGGGGAGATCATTTGTGGTGGGTGGGAGGTGATGTCTGAGCCCGTAGGGTGTAGACCTGGCCAAGACCAGCTCTGCCTCATTGAATGGAGGAGTTTTAGCATTAGACTGCTGAGGTGCCAGCTGGGCCTGGCCTAAGGTGAATGCCCCTCTCCTCGGGGGACAGCTGCCCAAGGGTGACCTTGTTTCTCAAAACACGGGCCAGTGAGCACGTCGCTGTGTGTCGGGGAAGAGAGAGGGAGGAACTCATGGTGGCCACTGGCTGTTGTCCCTTGTCCAGTCCCTAGTGGCATTTGGCCTAGAGACACCTGTCCATGGGCCACATCCTTGTCTGCCCCACCCAGCAGGCCCACAGAGGCAGCAGGGCCCGCTTCCCTGCCTTGAAGAGGTTCTTGGGCACCAGAGCAACCTTAGTGCCCTGGAGCACCTTGCTCCCTACTGTGGTGGGCTCCGTCCCCATGCTATCCTGAGCACATGGTGACTTATATCTCCATGTCACCTGTGCCTGTGGTGGGCTCCGTCCCCATGCTATCCTGGGAACATGGTGGATTCTATCTCCATGTCACCTGTGCCTGTGGTGGGCTCCGTCCCCATGCTATCCTGGGCACATGGTGAGTTATATCTCCATGTCACCTGTGCCTGTGGTGGGCTCCGTCCCCATGCTATCCTGGGCACATGGTGAGTTATATCTCCATGTCACCTGTGCCTGTGGTGGGCTCTGTCCTGTGTTATCCTGGGCACATGGTGGGGCTTTGTTTCACTGTTAACTTGAGCTGGGGAGGGGCATGCAGTGTGGGCTGACCAGGTGGGGCCCTGGCTTGCCCTTCATCTGCAGTGTGTGGGCAGATGGCCAAGTCTGTGTGTAGACAAGCCCACCCATATGCAGAAGCAGGACATGGTCCTTGGAGCCGGGCTGGGCCGGGCTGGGCCGGGGGCGCCTCTGTGGCTGGTCTGCCCGTGCTGTGCAGACTGCATTCAGCCTCCTCACAAAGGCTCTCTGAGAAGGCAGATGTCCCTCACTTATTAGTGGGTGCCAGGGTCTTCCCAGAAATGCCCCCACCTTGGGTGACATTGGTGAATGGGTGCTGGGCTAGGGTTTCTGCCCTGTGATGTGGGAGCCAGCAAGGTCCACATGCCCTGACCTTGGGAAGCCTCGAGGGTTGTTTGCGTTTTCTGTCGGCATCTTCTGTGCTCTGGGTAATTACTGCCTGGCGCCTTGTGCTGAGGAAACGGAGAACAGGGGAAGGTTTCATGTCTCCAGAGTCCCCAGCCGGCAGGTCAGACTGGTAAATGCTGAAGAGGGAGACAGGTCGGAGCCGTTCTTGGACCAGGTGGGAGGAATGGGCTTGGAGCAGGAGGCACAGGGTGTGCTGTGGGGGGTCCCATGGGAGCGCCTAAGTGGGCCTGATGGGGGAGATGACTCCATCGAGGTCAGGAGGGCGGTGGGGACGCAGCACTTTCCGCGGAGTGGACAGGACTGTGATGACAGGACGTGGGAGGTGTGGGAAGGGAGCAACAGATGCCCATCGCTCCGCCCTCTGTCCCCAGGTGAACCTGGCGCTCCCCGTGTTCTTCATCCTGGCCTGCCTGTTCCTGATCGCCGTCTCCTTCTGGAAGACCCCCATTGAGTGTGGCATCGGCTTTGCCATAATCCTCAGCGGCCTCCCGGTCTACTTCCTCGGGGTCCGGTGGCAAAACAAGCCCAAGTGGCTCCTCCAGGGCATTTGTGAGTATCTCCTCAGTGCAGCCCGACAGCTGGGGCCGCTCTCCTCCCTGCCGGTCCACCAGCGCCCCGCCCCAGCACGCTGTCTGCTGTCTCATCTAATCCCTTAGCCAGGCGTTCAGGCACTTGGCGTGTCTAGCAGTGACGTCTGGCCCATGTATTTCAGGGCTAAGACTCTCAGCTTGGCACCAGCTAATCTCAGAACAAGGGATTCCAGAAAACCAGGCTGCTTTTGCCAAGTAACAAAATCCCAGTGCTGTCGCCAGCCTAAGCACAAGGCTGACCCAGAAAGGCAGAGGCAGAGAAAGCAGGATCTCTGCACTGTGGTCACAGGGCCCACTAACCATCGCGTTTAGGAGCCCGTACTGAGGCCTCTCTCAATATGGCCGGCTCCTGGCACACTCGCTGGTGTTTGCAAGCCTGCACCCCAATCACCATGTCCTGGTGGCTCTCCAAATTCTGATTGCTACCTGCCCTGTGACTTTATGTGAAACCTCCTGATCTGAACATGTGAAACACTGTCAGTCATTTTCAGCAGGCCTTAGCCTCCAGGCCAGGCTAGACTCCCTAGTAATCATCTTGCAGAACACACCAGACCCTAATGCAAGCCCTGTGTCCTGAAATCACACCCCACAGAGTGTTCATCTGGGCCCCTGTCACACACCCGCCTGCTTCACTCCCTCTGTGGACTGCAGGCACGTGGCTGTCATCTGGCAGTGGGGGCAGCCTTGATTCTGGCCCTGGGTGTCTGCCAGGCGGTGGCCCAGGTGTGGATACACGGGAAGGGCCCTCAGCATCGGGACTTATTATCCCACTAGTAGCCCTGCACACTCCTGTAGCTCCTCCCGCCCCTCTCCTCT